AAAGGTCAGTTTTATATTATTGGATACGGTAACATGAGTGCACATGCGCTGCGTCATTGTAACTTCTGTACTGTTAGCCAGGCAAGGCTGAATGGTCAATATAATAAAAATAATAAATATATATATAAATGTATAATGTTATGAGATTTAAGCTATCTAGTCGAAACATTTGTTTTCGTCTTATAATTTGTAGTTATTCTAGAATGAAAAAGGCATAATTTGTATTTATTTCCTGATTTTTTTTTAAATGTGGTCACGATATTGGTCAAATCAACAAAACCTGTACAGAGATTTGTTACTGAAAATATAAAATATTAAGTTTTTTCTTAAACATTTGATAGCTATCTGGACATTATAAAGATTTTGCATGTGAAATTTGAAAATTTTCTGATGCACAAAAGTATTTTTAATCGTAAAATGAAAATTACTTTGTATGTTGGATAGGCAACATGCGAAAAGAAAAACAAAAGGCATGAGAAAAACATTTGATATTTGGCATATGAAAGCATTGCAATGTTTACTGATAATCTGCCAAATTTCATTAACATACGCTTATTAATTTAAAAGTTATAGCACGAAAACTATAACAAGCACAAAATGGTTACGAGGTCAGTCCCAGGGACCGAGCCCATGCTCAAAGAGTTAATAGAATATTCCAAAATTAAGGTATCAACAAATATGTATCAATATTAACAAACCATTTTTATTTTGCATGCAAAGTAAATTTACATAACAAAACATAACATTCTTTTATACAGGTTAATGGTGTTTCTCTTGAAATGATAAACCATTTTGAAGCTGTCGACATACTGAAAACCATTGGTAACAACATTACATTAGAGGTCATCAGGGAATCGCTAGTTTCTCAGGTATTGCTCTGCAGAAGAAATACATTGTTATTGTTAATTATATGTGCTATAAAAATATGTATTCAACTAAACAAAGGGCATGTTTCTATTAATAAATATGTAACTTTTTTCAGTAATATATTTTTGTAATTACATATTTTAGGCTAATAAAAATAACTTCTTAACCCTTTAAATTTAAGATTCTTTTACTTTCATTGCATTTGTTCATAGATTTCTAGAAATAATTAGCATTTTTTTTAAAGTGTAGAATATTTTTTTCTAACCATTGCAGGATATATCCAGAGTGGACAAGCCTGTAGTTAAATTGCAGCCTAATGGGATTTTGACTAGAAAAACTGAGGATATCCAAACTTCAGTGGTAGAAAGTAGACCACAGCAAATGCATGTTCCTGTAGTTCTAGAAACTATGGAAACAAAACAAGAAAATGGGGCTCAAAACTGGAGCAGTAAGCCACAGAACCTAACTGTGCCTAATGCAGCAGGTGGAGACCGCAGCCTTATTCTTTCTGGCCCTCCAACACCCGAACCTCGTACACCAGAACCAGAGTTTGAAGTGAAACGAGAGGTTTTGTAGACTTGTTTTAAATGTTTAAGAATTGTTTAAAATATAAAACTGTTTTTATGTACAGTTTTTTTCTTATATATTTCTGGTGCTGTGAATATATTCTGTTTAACCCCTTTTTTGAACCTGAGGGGTGTCACCGATATCTTCTGATATTTTTTCCTTCTCACGGTGGAAATACTTAACCAAACTGCAGAAATCTTAATACAAGTTTACTAAATAGTATCTAGTTTCTGCCTTATAGAATCTGTATAATTTGGTTTAGTATTTCTATAATTTTGAGGTTGTGAAATTTCCAAAATTTCGTTGTGAAACACTGGTTTGAAAAAAAAATAATTAAAGATACCTTTCAGCTTAAAATTTCAACTTTTTTTTTCATTGTTGGTAGAAAGTTCTATTTAATATATCCAGTCAGTTTCAACATAATTGAAATTCATTAACATATTTCTTTTCATACTTTATTTTGCCGATTGCAGTAGTCGCCACTTCCAGCTATAAATCATAAAAAACACTGCAAAACTGACAAAGATTTATCGGTGACCTAGGACATCACCTTTCAAAATGGCTTCACCATTACCTTTGTCAGTCTAGGTATCTTGATTTTTGCTAACACTATTCTTCGTCGAGATCAGTTTATATCTAATAAGTATGGTTTCTTTGCAGTAAATAATAAGCTCTTTTATTTTTGTACAGTTTTCAAATACGATAAATGTAATCGTAATATTAGACAAATAATTTTCGATTTGGAAATATTTTTTGTTGCCAGGCATACTCGCAATACCTAACTAAGCTTACCCATATGTATTGTCTTAAAAAAATATTTCTTGTGGCTCTCAAATAGATGTAATTTGGAACAAAAAGAACATCAAAAGAAACTATAGAATAAATTCTCGTATCTGTGGTTTGTTCCTGTTTTCTGAGCTTCCTATTATGCTCATTTGCTCACCTGTACAAGTGCTATGTGTAGCCAATATCTAGAAAGTTACTGCTGAAACCATTTCATTTACCTAAAATTGACATAAATATGATCTGTTTTGTCCTATTGTTTTTCGCCTTTAGATCTAGCTGTTTTCAAAGCTGAGCTTCATTAGTAATTGTTCAGACCACATGCTGTGATGCCATAAAAGGCTTGCAACAAAGGACTGTAGTAAAAAATTACGAACAGAGAAGGAAAATCATGTGAAAACAAAACATAATCATTTTATTTTTAAGGGGGTTGATAATTACTTAGCAAATATAAACCTGTACTTTGGGATGGGCTGAAAGATTTTAAAATAAATTAATAGATACATTGTTTACAAGCGAGATTCCCAAGCTATTTAATCTTGGTGGAGATAATATTCTGCTAAAATCAGTAAATTAAGTCATTGAAAATTACAGTTTTGTCCTGGAATTTTGTTTTCATTAACTTGTGTGAACCATGATTACATTTAGTAAATGTTATATAATGTGAAAATATAAATTCTAAAATATATTTCATATAGCTAAATCATTTTACTTGAATTTTAAAATTTGATATACAGGTGTGCACTTGATATCTGAAAGGTACTCATTAATTGTAATAGCTAAAATCTATAGTATGTCCTTTCCATGCTTTTTCTCAAATATTGTTATTTTTTTAATTTCTTTACATTTAATCTTGTCCATAATAAAATTGTTAGGAGTTCTTTGTTTTTTCTAAATTAGTGCACCAATGTTGTTCTTGTTGGAATAACTTTTGAGTATTAACAGAAAGATGTGTCATGTTTTTCAGAGAATCTATACAACGCTGATCAGGGACCACACTGGGCTGGGTTTTAGTATAGCAGGAGGTAGAGGGGGTGAAGCTTATAAAGAAGACTGTGATGTATGTGCTTACTTTTGTTCTATTAAAATCATTATGTATCAGCATTTGATGACGTCTTGTGTTGTTGAGTAATGTGAATTTAGTCACTATGAGCTCTAATAATGTCTTTACTTTACTTAAATATATATGTTGATATTTATTTTTATGTTTAACTCAAAGTTACTCCAGTTTATTAAACCTAGTTCAGCTGTATTTAGACTGGTTTATTAATTATACAGATGAGGTATTCTGTGGTTGTTTGTCACTCAGCTTGGTTTATTTTAATAACCAGCATCACCTCTTCACACTTCTTTGAACTGGAAACAAAAAAAAGTCTTAAAAGATAAGGAATGGACTTTTAGATTGTGCTGTATGTTATTACTTAAAATTCAGAATGTTTTTTGATGTGTGTGTGTATCCTATGTATTTTCTGTTATATTTTAAAAAATAAGTTAAACAGACATAAATTGAAAACAATTTTACTTTTGCCAATTAATAGTTGTATTTTATTCGTAACTAACTGAAGTTTGTAGGCTTGAATCTTACGATAACTTTTCAGAACTGCTGTGTGTGAAGAACTGTTGCTCAGTGTTTAACAGTAAAAATTTTATAGAAAGACTAAATGATTGTGTGTTTTCAGGGTATGCATACACACTAATCATTGGTACTATGTTTTTAGTGGCTTAACCATAAATAATTTTACATGCTTTAGATGTATATTTGTGTGTATATATGTGTATTGTAAATTAGTGTCTTTTTTTTTTTCCCCTCTAATAACTGTAGGTTAGAAAGTAATTAATTATTCATTTTACAGGGTATATATATTTCAAGAATTGCTGATGGTGGAGCTGCAGGCAAAGATGGCAAACTGAAAGTTGGTGACAAAGTGCTTTCTATTAATGGGGTGGACATGGATAGTGCAAGGCATGATCAAGCAGTTGCCATGCTGACTGGGTTAGAAAGATTTGTTCGACTTGTTGTGCTCCGAGAACAGGCAAGATCTTGTATTAAAGATTTATTTTTAAAATGTTACTTTGTAATATCTACCATGAAATTAATTTCTTAAAAATAAACATAAACAGACACAGAATTATTATTACTTTCCAAATAGAACTTCCAAAGATTAATAGCCATATCAAAATAATAGTTTATAAAGAGAAGTGAAGAAATTCAGATTCATTGATACTGTTTCAGTGATGTATTAATTTTTTTAAAGATAAGCTTTATTCTATAAGAGAATTTGAGAAGACTAGTGTCACACACTTTTGAGTATTTTTTTTTTATAGAATTATATTACAATTCTTTTTGGTGTTTTTCTTTTTATAGTTTTATATCTAGTTAGTTTATCTTTTGTGTATGTATTATATTGAAAGTAGTTCTCAGACAGATGAAAAAATTTAAAAGCCAAGAATTTATATTGAAATACTTATAATTTTATTCCAAAGAAATGTTATGACACATTTTTTATTATTTAGGTTGTACTCAAGGATTCGAAGAATCCAAAAGACCCAGAAAAGACTCAGTCTAACAGCCAGAAATCTCCAAAAGTTTTTGGCAGGCCTCGTCCCTATACAGGATTTTATTCATCTAGCTCATACATGGCCAATCGTCCGTCCTACACAGGTAGTTACAAAAGGCCCGACATATCACCTGGTGGAGAGACTGATGTTAAACCAACTTACTCTATTTTTACTAAGCTGCCAGGCTTACGGAATGAGACCACGGGGACTGTTTCTTCTTCATTAGCTAGTGCTCCAACATATCTTGGTTCTCCGGTAAACACTACGTCCACCTTGACTCTACACAACAGTCATCATACTGTCAGTAGATGTTTCTCAGAACAGAGCCCTACAGCTTCAAGCAATATAACTCAGGCTTATCATAAGTCCAACTCCCAGAAATCACCTGCTGAGCTGGGTTTACCAATACATTTTTCTGATCCTGCTCACATAAATAGCACCATTAATGTTTTGTCGAAAGGTACAATCCCTACTTCGAATCCTAATCATCTTAACTTCAGTACAGCTGTTTCCCAGAATTTTGAGACACAAAAACATCTCAGAAAGGCAAATAGTTTGGATGTTGCAATTGAAACCTTACCATCTCATCAAAATAACAACCCTATATGTGTTTCAACTTCATTAGAGGAGGTTTGTAATTAACTTTTCCCTTGTATCATAATTATCTATAAAGTTGCATAAATATTACTCATTTTGTGGTTATTAATCCCATGACGATGATTCTACATGTTTTTTATGTACCTCTCATGAAAGTTCTTTACAAAAAATGAAACTTGTGGAAGAAATTGTTTGAAATTTGACATGAATTTTCCTAAAAGTATGTAGTTTCAGAAAAAACATTTTATTTTTTCTACTATTTTAATAAAAAATTCTTTATTTATTTATTGTATTTATTTGCACTTGGACTCTGAATAGCTCACTTGCAAGGTGATTTTTATTTTGAGTATTAAAATAATATTTTTTATCGTACAGTTTTCAAATTTAATTTGCATACTCTCTAGAATCTCAAAAATTAATATCAAAAGTTTTTTAAGATAACGTTTATATTTTATTTTCCATTTTCTCTACTATATCATTAACTCTAGCTATTATTATCAACATAAAGTGCAGAGTAATATTAAGAAATGGAAATATGTACTTACCTTCATAGCATTGTCTTAAAACTTCTTTGGGTCATATGCTCAATTTGAAGTCTTTATTTTTTTCATTTAGAGTTTGTTTTTAATCTTTTATTTTTCTATCCAATTCTTTGTCTTGTATTATTTATGTTGATATGTCAACTGGTCCCTGCAGAACATTGTGCAGTTATGATGAGCAGGGTTGTGTTTGTCACATTCAAAATGGTGCTTGCACACATATTTTTATAAGTATTCACAAGCGAGTCGATCACGTGTAAAAGTAAAAAATTCGTTAAACCTCTCAAATATGAATTTTAAAACACAACTAATAAATAATTAACTAAAATATAAAAGTAAAACCTAAATACAATTGAACTGTTTATCAATGTAATATGTATAAGGCAAGAAAATATAGCCAAGTGCTAGGGACACCACTATAGACAATGGACTAACCTTCTTTTCTGCTTCACATATACAGACGCATACACTGCTAATGTTTCTTGGCCTAGTTCCAACAAATAGCATGAAATCTGCTCTTTCTATTGGTTATAAATAAGCATGCCATTCATTTAGCAACAAAGCTTATGCTTTGAAAGTGGGTGTGACTTATATTTGACTCTGGAATTTTTACAACAGTTTTTGTCTGACTCTAGTTCTTGGGAATATTCACATTACTTCTAAAGAACCTCAAGGTTTTATTTTGATGTCTGAAGGAAGGCAGTCTATATTCTCACACTTGTATCTCCTATATTAGCTATAAAGTTGAGATTTTTAATCTTGATCGTGATACGTGATGAAGTTTTAATTATTGTTTTAGAGGTTTCTTTTGAAATAAAGGACTAAAAACTTGTATAAAACTTTGAATTAGAATGTACTTAATAATAATAATTTCATTAAAATACGTTTATAGTAAAGAGGTTTAATCAAATTTTGAATATAACTGTGACATCTACAGAAAGGGCTTTAAAAATGGCATTGTAATTATAGGGTTAAACTCTTAGTTTGTATTCATAACAATGTGGGTATGTGTGCGTATATAATTACACACTTAACAAATATGTTTATGTTTACAGACTTTATTTATTTAGGTAAGCAGTGGTCTGTTACTTTTTAATAATGTCTGTAGATTCATTTTGTTTACATTGCATTAGAATAAGAGTAAAAATACCTAGAGAGAGCATTATTGAGAAAATTTTAATAAATTTATTTAAATTGTCTTGAGACTTATGTATCTACAATATATAACAACTATATGTGAATAAACTAGTTATTTTCACTGTGCCTTCAACTGATTTGTATACTTTGTTAATTCAGGATGTAACACTGGTGAAAGCTGGTGGACCCCTTGGGCTAAGTATAATTGGAGGCTCAGACCATTCGTGTCATCCATTTGGTGCTGTGGAACCTGGTATTTTTATTTCTAGAGTAAGTATGTGACTATGAAAAATTATTTGTTATTTAGTTTGATGAATGTTCTAGTGGTTTTCTCAGTGTTTGAAAGATTACTCATCAGCTAGTTTCATGAATATTCTTGTGGTTTTCTAAATGTTTGAAAGATTACTCATCAGCTAGTTTCATGAATGTTCTTGTGGTTTTCTAAATGTTTGAAAGATTACATGTCAAGTATTTTGGTGAATGTTCTTGTGGCTTACTAAATGTTTGAAAGATTACTTATCAGCTAGTTTGGTGAATGTTCATGTGGTTTACTCAGTGTTTGAAAGATTACTTGCCAGCTAGTTTGATGAAGGTTCTCTTTTGTTCTGTATATAGATTCTAGCATTTTATGTACTAATTGGAACATATTATTTAAGATACTCTCTTTGGCCACAACTTGCTTGGTTTATTGTGCCTCAGATGTATTTAAACATAATAAACAGTAATCAAGAGAGTTACCAGCAGGATAATAATTGCAACATTCAGCTGGACTTAAAATTTGCGACTTCTGTTTTCATGTACACTTATAAAATCCCAAAATAGAGTTTATTTTTTTTACCAAGATTTTTAATACATGCAGTTCAAAATTCAAGCTGGCATACATGTTTAGAATTTTCAAACTTGGGATGACAAAAATTATTTTTGACTTCTAGATTGTTTCTGATGGTGCTGCTGCAAAAACAGGGAAACTTAGGATTGGTGACCGTATTTTGAAGGTAAAATTATTGTTTAGAAAAAGGTACACATACAAAGATGTGTGAATAATAAGCAAAAGCCTGGAACAATTCACTTATTACTACCTATACATGTAATGATACACGTCTTTATCTTCAGATGATTTTGCGTACCATTATTTTAATTTACTTCCTTAAAGAAAGTATTAATTGAAATGAATTCTCTATGTAATGCATTTACTCCTTTTAGTTATAGAAAAATCCATAGGAACTTTTGTTTGTTTTTTTAATGGTAATAATAATAAATCTATTATTTATATCTGGAGAAAAATGTTGATTTCTATCATTTAATTTAAACTAAAACTAGGAAAAATATGCCTGAAGTGTCTGATATTTAAAGAATTAATTACTTTAATAGTGGGATTTGCTTGTTTTAGTTACTAAATATTTTCTTATTCATGTTTTTTTTAATACTTCCCACACATATCAGGAGTCTACTAGAGGAAAAAATAATTAGCTTAGAATTATCCAGTAACAAAAATTCAAAAGATCATGTCTGTTTGAAAATATACTGGCAAATAAAATTTATCAACATGTGAGCAAGACCTTTAAAATACCATGTTTGTACTAAAATATTAAAAATGTGATATTCTTTTCATACCATTGTGGCAAATACACTATCCTACCAGAAGTAATGGGACACACCTCTGATTGCATGAATGTGATAATAAAATATGCAAATAGTTTGGCCTGTAAAGGTGATCAGCTATTCACTCAGAAGTCATTTCAAACTTATATACCAAATGATGAATACACAGAAAGAGCTAACAGAGTTTCAGAGGTGAAGGATAGTTGGATGTCATTTGGGGAAAATGTCTGTATATGTTATTGGTCAACAATGGGCAACATGCTGAAGAAATGAAAGCCCAGAGGTGACAATGAGCCTAAGAAACGACCAGGTAGACATAAAATACTGACTGACAGGAGCCGACGAGGCTTGAGAAGGCTGGTTACCTCATATTGCTGTCAGACCCTAGAGAATCAGTGTTTGGAGACGCAAGCAGCCACAGGCAAGCCTCTGTGTGTTTCCATGACACATTGAGAGCTGTACGCCATGAATTTTCATGGAAGAGTTGCATTCCACAAGCCATTGATAACAAAAACAAATGCATACCATCGATTGGCATGGAGCAAGGCACATCAAACCTGAACCGTGGATCAAAGGAAATCAGTGCTGTGAAGCGACGAGTCACGCTACACACTCTTCCAGTCTGATGGACTTGTTTGGGTATTGAAGATGTCTGGAGGACACTTATTACCTAAGTGTGTTGTCCCAACAGTGAAGTTTGGAGGTGTTGGTATCATGGTCTGGGCGTGCTTCTGTTGGTATGGACTAGGTCCACTGTTCGCAGTGCATAGATTCATGAATGCTGAGTCCAACATTGATGTTCTGAATAACTCTGTTTGTCCTACATTTTGGCAATTTTATGATACTGGCACTTACACCTTGTAACATGATAATGCTCTATGTCACAAAGCAAGGATTGTGAATTCGTGGTTTGAAGAGAATATCATTGGAACATTGCAGTGGCCAGTACAGGGCTTACCTCAACCCAATAGAACATCTTTGGGATGAACTGGAACACAGAATTATGGCAATTCCAAGATTGCTCTCTTCAGTAGTGGAGCTTATTACTGCTTTAAAGAAGGAGTGGAGCACAACACCACCAGCTTTCTACCAGAAATTAATAGACTGTCTTCCACGATGCATTGAAGCAGTCATTAAAGCCAAAGGCAGGCCAACATGCTATTTATTTCTTGGAATAAAGACACTTTATTCATAACTACCCATGTCCCATGACTATTGGTAGGATAGTCTAAAATAATGTAGTTGTTAGTTAATGTAAAACTTTTGAAACATTGCATTTTATTAAACTAATACCTATGTAATGCAAATGTGTGAATGAAATAATTGACAGTCTAAGAAGTTACCTTTATTGGTTTAAAAACTTACTGCAGGTAAATGGAAGTGACATCAGAAAAGCAACACATCAGGAAGCTGTCATGGCATTGCTATCTCCTGTAGAACACATGAAGTTGACTGTGTATCATGAACCATTACCCTTGGGATGGCAGGTAGGATGTGTGGAAAGCAGACCTCTTTAAGCTAGCTTAGCATATGAGTTAAGATTTGAAAAGTGAACTGTACTGTGTTGAAACCTGTTCATCATCCTCAAGATGTGTGTGCTTTAAGTTATAGTCTTCCTGGTGCACTGACATTTTTTTTTGAAGGATGTGAAGACAAAGATGCTGCTCTGTACAGATTTGGACATGAGAAGTAGTCACCTTTATGGTTTCACATGTGTTATCATGGTCTTGCTTTAAGAATGACATTACACTGTAATAAACTAGTACAAATGAATTAGGCCACTTGCTGAGAAAACTTTTGTAGTTTCCTAACAGAAGAGAGCTTAAAAGAACCTTTATATTTTTGAGCAAAATAACGTTCTAGTGACAAAAAGGGTGGTTTTGATTAACTGGTAAAAAAAAAAAGTCCTCAATTTTGTCATAATTTTTATTTTTCCAGTGTTCAACAGATGATTTTTTTTTTTTGGATAGATGAATTAGAATGAATCATTTTACATATTAAAGTAGCATTATTGAAAGTAAGATTATTGAAACCACACTGGACTGTCAAATCATCTCTGTTGCATCAGTCTCTGTATGTTTATAACTGTTATCACTCTCTTCGATTCATGAAGAAATTAAACCAAAGAATTACAAAAAATCTTTTTGCCAGGGTTTTGTACAAAACTGCAATGGGATTGATAATTATTACTTGTCTGTGTTTTTATATCCTTTCTTTTCTAGTTTGTTATTAGTAATTTGTAATCATTACAGCTCAATTTAATAAATGATAATTTCTCCATTTTGATGCTTGAAGTTATCTCATGTGAAACATTTCCTTTAATTAATGTACATTGTTTCAAGAGGTTGTTGTTCTTGGCAGAGTAGATAGTACTGGTATTTACTCCATACTAAGAATCTGTACATTTGTCATTAAAGTAAGAGATCTCCATGTGTTTATTTATCCTAAACATTGTTCATTGTATCTGTCTGCATATGCTGCTATTTATAAAGTCTTCGTAGATTCAGTAAAGACAACCTTTGACTTCTATGTGCTTGGGCTGTGGGTTTGATTCCTATAAAAAAAAATATATGTATATATACATACATAATTCTGAACATAAAGCTGGTAAATAATTTGTTCTATGTGCTTGAAAATGTGTTTTAAAGAGCTCTTGATTTCCTAAAGATTATACGAATTATCAAATTATTTGTTAAATGAAGCTTACCTTTTATTGGTATGATGCAGTTTTGAATGTGGAGTAAGAAAACTTGTGTTGTTTTATACAGGTTTAAAGGAGCATACAAGGTTCAAGTTTCTTAGCTAAATCTTGGGTTTTTATGTAAGAAACAAAACTTGCAGAAGGTTCACCTGAAAAGTGATATAGAAATGATGGTGTTGATTTCAAACTAAATGATAGTACTTAAGTGTTTTTAATAAAGATTTTGTTAACTCTCTACTTTAAAACTACTGAATACATTTATGTCTTATCGGGGAATGTGTGATTATGAAAGAAAACTTTAAGCAATTAAAAGAGGTAACCATATAAGCAGCCCATAAGTACTAGCAATATCTAGAGTGACAGTTCATAGCGAGTTGTAGCACAAATGACTTTAAACAACGATTCTAAGTTTGATCTGAAGCTGCATAATCTTTGTACGTTGGTTCAGTTTTTCTTTTTTGGTTGTTTAATTTTTATTTATAACATTGTTTTTTTATTTCACTGAAAGGAGTAGAGGGCTCCAACTCTGGAGAAATATTTTGCCTCCTAATATCTCCTATAGGGGAGGAAGAAAATTCCCGTTTAGTTAAACTTTTAATTTTGCATATCACTCTTGGTTTGAGGGTGACTTGAGATGAAGCACTTGATATTAAAAAAAAGTGTATGTGAAAGCATCTATACAATAAACAAGTACATTGTTGTTAATACAGGTATATCACTTTAAATAAAAATCATCCAATTAGTGAAAAAAATCAACATCAAAGATTGTGTTGCCTTAATACAAAACACTGATGAGATTTGTCTTTTAATGTTTCTATTCTCCTATACTCAAGAAATTGTTTCTCAACAAATCTCTATTTTACGTATTGATCTCTGGAGATTTATTAAAGAAGTTACTGTTGGGAATTGGTTTTTCATGCTTTTCATAATAGAGATAATTCATATTTGTTGTTAGATAAAATAATTATAGTATTCAAGATTCTGAGATTTAATTTTCAATTTGTTTTTGCACAGGTTTTTTTTTAATATCACAGGATTTATGATGAGTTGATGTTAGAACTTCATAACAAATAATTTAAATGAAAGATTATGAATGTTTTTTAACTAATTATGTGCTCATTTATGCTGGTTATTTGGTATTGCTGGCACTTAATTTTGAAAATATATGAGAAGCAAAATTTGTGAAATACATCAAAATAATGATATATTTTGGGAAACTAGTACATTGCTTAAATATTGCTATGGAAAGTGTTAATTCCTGTTATTTGTTATGCTCTTGCCAATAAGGTTTAGTCATCTTGTAACGTTGAACAAACTTCTGATCTCAGGCTTGATCTCCATCACTATAAGCCTTTCTTTGGATCACTTTGACAACAGAAATAAAACATTGAGGTTTAAAAACTTCCTTTTTTTTCTTCTTTCAGCATTTCCTTTATGGATAATGACAAATACAAGCTTAAAACATTTTTCTGAGGACTATATTACTAATTTCCTGGCAAATATTTTGGGCATATTTTAATTTAAGCCTATTGATAAAAAGAACTGACATCAATGTATTTGTCATATTTTGTTAAATACTTGAACACCAATACCTATGATGATTAGCTAGCTTGCACATTTCAACATTATTCATTGGCTAATTTCAGTATATATATATCATGTATTATAATTATAATAAGCTAGCTCCTGTATTTGACATTTTCTATTTATTAGATTCAGTAGCTATTATTATAATTAGCTATTGTAATATCATCAACATCGGTAGTTCAAAAATACTTAATTTTTCTTTCACATTATCCATTAGGTAACTTCGGTAGTAATTGTTATAACTGGTTACCCGTGAATTAGCTTTGATATCAAATATAACTTATTAGCCTCTAAATTTAATATTATGTAGTGTGAGCAAACAACTGTCTTTTAGACATTTCTAGTGTAATCCATGTGTTTAATGTATGTAGTTGTATAATTCCTGTATTTATAATAGCAAGATGAGAATTTTGCTATAACTGTACAAAAAAAAACCACGTGAATATTTATCTCTTTATGTTTGGAGAAGCCCAGATTGTCTATGGCCTTATCATACAATGGTAACATATAAATATCACTGTTGAACTAGTAATTAAGTTTAAATAACAATCAAAAGTGATGATGAAGCATTTCAGTCTCTCAGTGTAAATACTCAAGTTAACTGTATATTTGAAACAAATATTCCAGTAGATAGTGTTTTCTGAATATAAGGGTATTTTTTAAGGGTTGAAGGTTTGAGAGCTGTTAAATTTCAACATATTTTTTTTTTTTTACCTAGTTAACATAAGATTTACTAATCTCAGGACTTTTAACCAGTACTTTGAACCATCAGTGATGTTTTCAACAGCATTTATTTCCACCACACACCTCACTTGTTTGAAATATGTCACACTTGAAGTGATACATCTAGTAGAGTAGTAGAAGCTAATGAGGTGAGACATGATGGAATTTTCTGGGAAGATTTTTCTTTCAGAAACTGACCAAAACTGATTGTAAATAATGTAGAAAAACTTTGGAGAAGGTACCAGCAACCAAGTGTGTCTGTAAGCTAACTTCTTTCTCCTCTCTTCTTCTTCATGCTACTCCTCCGAGCAGCAAATGTCTATCTTCAAACCTGTGTCCATGGTTGTAAGTAAACCTCCAGCAGGGGTGCTTTTCTTGTGTTATAAATAAGGTCAGTTTTCCATCTTATGTAGTAGAGCATGTGGTTAGTGCAGACAGTGACCCAATTTTGTCCTTTTATATATATATTTCAGATTAAGGGTTTTATGATTAACTTTTAGTCTTTCAATCATGGAGATTATTCTGTATTATAATCTCATGATTTTATGACTTTTTTCTAATAAAAATTCCTTAACTCTCATTATTTTGTTTAACACTTTTCCTTGTTTGGATGAGGCTTGCAAGAATGTTTCTCTGCACCTTTATTTGTATAACCGAGAATTGGTTTTTCAAGTTTATCTTCACTCCTTCAGTGTTTGTTTGTTTTAAAATATGATGTTATAAAAATATTAATTTTTAGTTATCTGAAAGTTTTATATACAAAAAAAATTGAAATTTTATTTTATTGTGCATTTAACAAATATTTTTTTCAGTTTTCATAGTGTAGAAATTACTAATAACCAATATGAATAAGATGTAGCATTTTTCGTATGATCAGCATGAACGACTTATCAAAGTGTAACAAACTGGGTGTTTTAACTTTTAGTGTTAAATATTTGAACCTCTTTTTTTTCTTCTAAAAATTGCATGTTTTTGTGACATAACACAGTTGTAGATGTGTAATTTTGCTTGTTTTGGTGTCAATGGCATTGAAATTCCAAGTTTTTCTGGAATAATTTTTTTTTTTACCTATAGCATGCAGTTGTGTTTTTTTGTTGTAGTTATTTTGTATGATTCAGTTTTTTGTTGTTTTTTTTTATAAAATATAATAGTTTTAAGAGTGTAGGTATTATCATGTAAGTAAAAATATTGCATTTTTGAAAATATTGCTGTTTAACATACAGGAATATAATTTTATAAATAGATCAGGAAACATTTTCAGAGATATTCAGGTGAAACTAGCCAAATTTAATTTGACACTTGTAACATACAAAAAAGAACTTACATTTGTAACAAAATATAAAATGTTTGTGGATTTGAATTTATAGTAAATTTAATAATTCTTTAATCCTATTTTGTCAATGATTAACTGCTTTGTCATATTATTAGTCACTATTTAACATTCTGTAATTTAAAAATATATAATTCATTGGTTGAGGATTATTTTATTTTGTAAAAGAATCAACCCTGCATTTTCATGAATGTCTTGCATTATTGCTTGAAGTGTACTTTATATTTTTAGCCACTTAATTTAACTTTGAACTGTTACTGCTGTACCCTAAAACTTCCTATAAGTAACTTGTATTGGTAAATGTAAAATATAGAAGGGTCTTATAAAAGGTTGAAATTAAACATCATAATAATAAAAGTGTTGTGTAGTAACTTCCTATTAAAAGAAAATATGTTGATTGTATGTTTAAGGAATTGAAGATAGAAAAGAAACCTGGGGAAAAGCTGGGAATGACAATCAAAGGTGGCACTAAGGGTCATCCTGGAAACCCTTTAGATAAAGAAGATGAAGGAGTCTTTATTTCTAAGGTACTGCCATTACAAGAGAAAATCAAATCTCCTTATCATAATCGAACTTGAGCAATGTGATGTCACACAACCATATTATGAGCTCACTTACCAGTTGTACTAGTGAATACTTTTTTGTTTTCAACAGATTAACTCCACTGGAGCTGTGTATAGAGATGGAAGGTTAAAACCAGGAACAAGGATAATTGAGGTTTGTATTTTAATTTGAAACTACCATTCATGAAGGAAAAAATGCAGTTGCCAAATTCAGAGTTTTCATGTAGATATGATTATTCTTTCTTTTGGTACAGGTAAAACTGAAGAAAAGTGTTATCATGGTTAGAAAGATACTTTTGTTATTTAAGCTGTTTAAACTCTTTTTCCTGTGTAGTGTAGTAACTTAACATGCATTTATAACTTTCACTTAAGTAATTTTGGTATTTTTTAATGCTAGATAGTTATGGAGACAATTTCTTTTCTCTTTGTGATGAACACAGGTGAATGGTATCTCATTACTCGGAGCTTCTCATCAGGAGGCTGTGAATGTTTTGAGAAATGCTGGAGATACAATTCAACTATTAATTTGTGATGGATATGATCCTGCAGCTGTTGCAAATACCATCCAACATGATGACAACAAACCAGGAAACAGAATATCAGTCATGTCTGTATCTTCTATTGATCGAGATGATGAGGACTTGCTCATTCTCAAACAGGTTGGTTTTTTTTATCCTACTACATATAGAAAAAAAATTTATCTTGCCAAAATTACTCCCTTTGCAGTTTTTTTTCATTTACACAAAGTACATTTGCATTGTTGCCCAAATGTTTAATATAACTTTCAACTTTTTTTTGTTATGAAAGCATTTAACTTTTGAATACACTTATTTTAACAGTACTTTTAACTGTGAGAAAAACATCTTGAAATTTAAAAACCAGATGCTCTTCTCAGCTACAGGAAATAAAATGTGTAAATATTGTGATGACAGTTTAAGAGTGTTAATAGAGACATTGCACATAATTCTAGTAATTCTTATGTGTTAACTACATTTGTTTACTTGTTTGGTTTATATGATGTTTAAATGTTTCTTTTGTGCCTTAGGAGCAAGATACGTTGAGGGAAGCTGCTGAATGGGAGAAGGAAGATAAAGAAAAAGCTGTAAGTTTATCTTTTTGATTAGTTAATTAACAAATTGAGATCACATCAGGTAGATTTTATGTAAAGCAAAGAACATGCAAAGTATTGTGGTATAACAATTAAATTGCCAGTTGCTTTTAGTAAATAATAATTAAATGTATATGGCAAAGTTTATTGGTATAAAATTATACTGGATAGTTTAACATAAAGTTAGCTTTTCTTATAGTGTGATGATTTTTTAGACTTTGTAGCCTGAATGCTTATAATGCTGTGCCAGGTTTGATGTTTGCTGTGTTATTTGTAAACAAGTGTTAAGTTTTTTTTTGTTATTTAATTCAAATATTTTTTTTCTTTACCTCTTCCATTACCACAATATCAGACAGATGGAAATAGCTGATGGTACTTGTGGGTCTCTCATGATTAAGTAATACATGTGATATTTAAAAGAAGTTATTCAAATTAATATAATAATTAATTTCTAAGATTCTGGACCAAGATGTACTTATATTAGTAATAGTGATGTTTGCAATCATTGATGATACTAAAAATTGGGCATTTTATGGCCTCAACTGAGTGTTTGGTTAATGTTTTGATGACTGATTATTAATCAAACTTTCAAAATGGATGTACACGAAAATGACAAATTAAGACATTTCGAAATCACTCAGGATATAGGGTTTTTATTATTTTGTATCAACATGTTTACTTGTTATCTCGGATACATTGTACGGGTGTGTGTTAAAGTTATATTTGAGAACATAAAACAGTTGAATAAGTATTGTGAGGAAGGGAATTTTGTTTATAGTTGTTGTTTTTATTATTCCTTACTAATGGGGCTTCCTTAATTTCTATTTTGGAGATGTTGTAACCAGTGTCTTTTTTGTTTATGTGGAAAAATATGAGAAGGTAGATGATTGTGTTTATTTGTGTGGGTATTGAATTCTCTCTCTTTTACCTACGTAACTTGTTGTACAGTTGTGACATTTGTGTAAATAAACATTACTTATATAGTTGTCTTGGAATCTATTTGTTAGAAAGCTGCCTAGTTTCATGCCAGTTGTAAAATTTTATATTTACATTAATATTATGTTTTTACATCGACAAAACCATACGCCAGGAGTGTAGGTAAGGAGCAGATATTGATGTATTTACTTTAATAAGCTGAAATATTCTGGGACACAAAATTGATCTTGTTTGTTAGTGTTAGTCATTGTGTTTTTGATGATAGTTTTAGGAAATTTGTTGGTGTGAAAAAGAGAGAATTTCAGATGTTGGATTTCTTAATTCTGATTGTCTTAGGAACTACAAAGGCTTATAGCATTAGAAATTATTAAAGTTTTTAAAATTTCTTTTATTTATTTATTATATGTGGGTTGAGCTGAATACCAAGGTATATAAAGGTCAGTGTGAGTGGGCAAATGGTAAATACTCATGTAGAAGCCTTGATGTGATAGATCTACACTATCCTACCTAAAGTCATAGGACACACTTCTAATTCCAAGAAAATGGGTGATGATGATGAAATATGCAAATAGTTTGGCCTATAAAGGTGATCAGCTATTCACTCAGAAGTCATTTCTAACTTGTACACCAAACGATGAATACATGGAAAGAGCTAACAGAATTTCAGAGGGGAAGGATAGTTTGATGTCAATTGGGGAAAATCTCTTTATGTGCCACTGTGCAACAGTTAAACATTCCCAAATCGACAATTGGCAATGTACTGAAGAAATGGATGTCCACAGATGACTGACTGACAGGAGCCGACGTGCTTTGAGAAGGCTGGTTACCTCATCTCACCGTCAGACCCTAGAGAATCTGTGTTTGGAGATGCGAGCATGCCACAGGCAATCCTATAAATGTTTCCCCAACATGTCAAGAGCTGGATGCCATGAATTTTCATGGAAGAGCTGCAGCCCACAAGCTGTTGATAATAAAAACAACTGTACACCGTCAGTTGTCATGGGGCAGGACATGCCGAACCTAGACTGTGGATCAATGGAAATCGGTCCTGTGGAGAGGCGACTCACTCTACACACTCTTCCAGGCTGACGGATATGTTTGGGTATGGAGGATACCTGGAGAATGCTTATTATCTGAATGTGTTGTCACAACAGTAAAGTTTGGAGGTGGTGGTGGTATCATGGTCTAGGGGTGCTTCTCATGGTATGGACTAAGTCCACTGGTTGCAATGCATGGATCCATGAATGCCGAGTCCTACATTGATGTTATAAGAAACTCTGTTTGTCCTACATTTTATGGTACCGGCCCTTACACCATCCAACTTGGTAATGCTCCATGTCAAAAGCAAGGATTGTGAATGCATAGTTTGAAGAGAATAACATTGAAACATTGCAGTGGCCAGCACAGAGCCCCGACCTCAACCCGATAGAACATCTTTGGGATGAACTGTAATGCAGAATCAGCAAGGCCAAGATGGCACTCTTCAGTAATAGAACTTACTAATGCTTTAAAGGAGGAGTGGAGCACAATACCATCAGCTTTTTACTAGAAATTACTAGACAGTCTTCCATGATGCATTGAAGCAGTCATTAAAGTATTAAAACCAAAGGAGGGCCAACATGCTATTAATTTCTTGGAATAAATACATGTTTTATTCATAACTATTCATGTCCCATGACTTTTTTGGTAGGATAGTGTATGTTAAGAAATGATAGTTTGTTGTTTCTTGTTCTGTGGTAAACTTTCTAGAAGGATGTTGTTTGCTTGGCAATTCGTGGGTCTAAAAAACCTGCATTAAGTTGTCAGCTATAAGTCAACAAGTTATAATTATTAATCTATTATAACAAATAAAATGTAACATTCTTTTGTTGCTCATATTAATTATGAAGGGTGTTGTGGTCACATTTTGCCACCATATGTATGAGTTTCTGCAATTGGCTAATGAGTGGGCGTGTTGATACAGAATCGAGAACAGAGAAATCTAGGTTGTATTATCCTAGTGATAAATGCTAATGCCAATGTTGGTGAAAGCCTAACTAATAAAATGCCCTTGGTTAAGAAAACATTCAGTAATACAAAGCAAAATCATTAATTAGAAAGAACTGTTGAATACTTATTTTCCTACCAATGATTGGTTAACCTGTTACCTACTGTGGCCATTTTGTCTTATCATGAAGGCAAAATCACATTTGTGACTTGAAAAAATTATAAAGAACTTATATTTTATTGAATTTCATATTTTATTTTTGTAAATAGTAGCATAACATTCAATTATTTGTACAAAATTGTGGTATTTAATGAAGTTTAAAGAGAAATTTAATAAAAAAAATCCCAAAATACGTTTGAGACTAAATAAGTGACCTCTAAGAAGAAAATTTTTTTCAAAATTTAAAAAAAAATTTTCCTTGCACTTCAACACTTGTCCTACCATCTATGATTGGTATCTAATCCTTTTTCTAGTCTGTTTTCTTTATAAAACAGGATCTGGGCATGTTAAACCTCAGTTGTAAAACTTTAAGTCAATCCTAGTCAAAGATGTCAATTTCAGTACTATGTTATTCCAATTGCTGTATTTCACGCTTGACAAATCATAGGATGATAAGCAAAGCACGTAACGAAATGTTATTCTCTGGATTTTACAATATGAATGTGGGTGGTACTTATTATAGTAACTGCCATTTTATGTAGAGGTTGTATTTAGTGTTAGTATAACACTAGTATAAGTGTATTT